GGGGCTCTTTCCTTGAACTTGAAGTTGCTGGTATTGGGCTGATCTGAACCTGTTAGGATCCTGAGGGCTCCGGTTGAGTTTGTGCTCCCTGATAGCATTTGGATTTATCCGCCACACACCCACTGAGGAGGGGCACTGCCAGCCCTGAAGCTCTGATTCCTCTGCTCGTATTTTCCTGGGGTCCACAGAGACCAAAGCCCCAGATCCACCATGGGGCTATAGGACAATTTCTCGGAGGAGACTTGACTTCCAGCCAAAGCGACATTAACTTTATAAGCTCCCCTGGCAGCGCTCAGTGGAGGCAGCCCCAAACCAAGCCAGTCCATTCTGATCCGTAACAGCCTGACAGGACAAAGGACGGCCTGTGGGGTTTCCAAGGCTGTAAATCCTTATGGAGACAGCCTGCCTCGTCTTTCTCCCTTGGAGCTGCTGGTGAGTTCAAACCTTTGTCCTCTAGGTTAGCAGTTGACTGTCTTACCCTAGTGCCACGCGAAGCTCCTGTCCAGGGAGCTGTAGTTCAGTAAAGCAGGGTCCTGGGTTATACAAAGGTTTATGAGAGCTTCCCATGGTACATGGGTGAAGGGCTTCTCTTTCTTTTGACCCCGGAGCCATTAGTTAAAGCCAAGCCCATTATCTCTGAGTCTGTTCCAGCTCCTGGGCTCCTCTATGTCACAGGGTAGAACTGAGCTCTGTAGTGTTTTCAAGACCGTCATCCTGATGGAGACAAATCAGCTGCCTTTTCCCCATGGCACCAACTGAGAAGGTTCAAACCATCAAGCTTTTGGTTAGAAATTCCCTACAAACTATCCGTCCCACTCAGGGTCCCTGTCTCTCGTTCCTATGACTGTCAGGGCCCCAGTGTCAGCAGAGGTCCTCAGGAAAGCACCACATCGTCCTGTCGGCTTCATTTTATTTCCCCTCCTGAACTGGACTCTGAATTTTGAAAAAGATTGTTCTTTCCCAGCATTTCTGGGTATTTCTGGTAGGAGGCCGATCACTGGAACAGAATATCATGCTTAGAAAGATGAAGGTTTGTAGAAATGAGAGGAACCCTCAGTGAGGAGTCTTGACACACTAACTGCCCCAGTGGGTTCAAACAGGATGACGACCACGAAGCACCAGGACCGGACAGATTCACCCCCTTAGAAGGAGGTCATGTGACTTATAGCTCAGTCAGCAGCAACCACAGCCGCACCGTCCTGCAGGGGTTCCAGAACACCAAGCCCACCGTGTACTGCTAATCAAAAGGTCGCCAGTTCAAGTCCATCAGCCACTCTTTGAGAGAAAGGTGAGGCAGTCTGCTCCCATTAAGACTTACAGCCTGGGAAACCCAGTTAAGAGGCATTGGAACCAACTTGATGGCACCAGGTTTGTGGGGTTTGAGGTTATGCCATCCACAGAGTCCCCATACCTCTGTGTTGCCTGAACCCCTTTGTTTAGCCTGAGAAGGGGAGAAGCTGACCTATGTTACCCAGAGCCCACACTGCCTGGTCACACATAGCTGCACAGGGACAGGATAGGAGCTCGACCAAGGGCTGGATGGTGCCCCCTTCCGCCAGCACCCAGGCCAGCTCCGTGGCCCCAAAGCAGTGTTGGCCAGAGCCCAGGCTGCTTCTAACAGTTAGCCTGGGTAAGGGGACAACTTCAGGAACTCCGCCAGCCGGGGGTGGCGGGGAAGCTCTTCATCGATGGTCATTTGCAGGGGAGGGTCCCTCTCCCAGGACAGCGTCTTCCTGTGAACTGACAGAGAATGAGAGGCTCCTTGTGTCTGCTCTTGGCATCCTCAACCATCAGGTGAGATAAACAGCTAGGCTGGAGCGACTCGTGTCAGAGCCCGGCCCGCATCAGGGATGGAGTGGCATTTCCCTGCAGGTATTATCCAGGAGCGCAGTCTTCTGCAGAGGCCAATTTGAATGAAGCAATTCATCTCTGACAGCACGTTGCATATTTTAAGTTGCCCCAAGGACAGCGTGGAGCAGCAACCAAGCCTCACTTCTGGAAGAACCAGCCTTTCCTCGTAGCTGCTGGTCATCCTGCTACAGCTCAGAAACCCAAAGGCTCCGGAGCACACATCTAGCTCTGAGGAAGGAGTATCACCTGGCTGCCCAGGTGGCCTGGAAACACAGGTGTGGGTCTGTACCCTTGACTCCACGACCTATTTCATCTAGGCTAAGGCTGACGTGCTAGGAGAGAACGTTCAGGCTGGAGTCTCTGCCAAAATGAGCGTTGAAGCCATCTATCTAGCTATCCAGCTGATTGGCACGGGCTGGCATGCACAGGCTGCCCCTTCAGCATGCTGGTCCCTGTCAAAGCAGGGGAGGATACTGGCCATCCCACAGGACCCCCTGCTCTGTGGGATGAAGAATTAGAAGGACTAATTCTTGCCATCGTTGGATCCCCGGGATCTCTTTAAAGGCACACAAGAAGAACATGCAAATGGACATCAGAAAATGGCAGAAACAAGTATACTTATCTCTACCTGCAGATGACATTACACTACTTGGTTATGAACAAGGTCATTCTCAAGTTTGTCTTCAAGTCTTCCTTGTGAGTAAGTCAGTCTAGGGACACATGGTTCCAATGTAGCCTCGCTTTAGTGCAAGAAGGGAGCTGTGGGGACACAGTATGTAGGGAGTCCTGGGGCGAACCCAAAGGCCACGCCTCTCTGGCAGTTTGGGTCCATCAGCAGCGTCCCCAGAAAAGATGCGCTATCTCCTCCTTTGTAATTAAAAGGGTGAACTTCATGTTTGGTGAATGTTACTGCAACTCACTCAAAGAACAGGAGTGTGTCTTTAGACCCTCTTGGCTAAATGGAGCCAATTCTGGCAGGTGGGGAGGAAGGACATAGATAGCTCAGACGGGACAGAGAAGGGGTACCCATGACATATGGAAGTACAGTGTTCACTGGGGTTCTTAGAGGAGAAATGTCACGAGCACAGACCTGGCCTTGAAGCGAGCCCACCTACCTGACCTGTCGGACCGATCCTGACTCCCAGCACGCTGGAGGACAGAGTGGAACTGCCCACAGCCTTCCCAGAGTGCTGCTTCACGGAAGAGGCTGCCTCCTCGCGCTCCCATGAAGCAGCTGGTGGTGCGTTCTCACTTACTGGCCTTTTGGTTAGCTGCCAAGTGATTTAACACAGCACCATGAGGGCTCCTGGAAGCCGATCTAGGGTGTAGGGAAGTTGGAGTAGCTGGAGCTCTGAAGACAGGACAGCATTCAAAGCTAGGCAAGACCTTCAGCAACTAAATGTCTCAGCTGAGAGAGAAATATTCATCAGAAATCCTCACTTCCTAAATTCCCAGTTAAGGAGGGCCGAGCAAAGTCTCAATGAGAAGCAGCATGTGCTTGGTCCCCGTCAGCACAGAGTCCCGGGCCCACAGCCATATGCCATCTCCCCTCCAAGGCCTCCAAAGCTGGCCCAACTGCCGCTGAATTGGCTCCACTCTTGGAGGCCCCGTGTGTGTCAGGTGAGAACTGTCCCCCACAGTCGGAGTGATCTATGGCTGGTTTTTCAGAAGTAGGTGGCCAGGCCTTTCTTCCAAGGTGCCTCTGGGTGGACTGAAACCCAAGCTTTCTGCAGCTGAACTTATTAACTGTCCCACCAGGGACTCCACTCCTTCCCTCCCAAACACTTTCAGAAACCCACTGCCATCAGGCTGGTTTCCGACTCAAGTGACCCTGTAGGACAGAGGAGAACTGCCCCACAGGGGTTTCCAAAGCTGTAAATCTCTACGGAAGCAGACTGCCTCAGCTTCCCTGCAGGGCGGCTGGCCAGTCCAAACTGCTGACCCTGTAGTTAGAATCCAAGTGCTTAACCAGCGTGCCACTAGGGCTCCCTACCTCTTCGTCCCCAAGTTGGCGCCGACTTCTAGCCGAGCCTCCAGCAGGTCTTCCGCAGCGGCCAGTCACTCAGGAGGACACTGCCCCTTTCTCACTCGGACCTGCTGGTGGAGTTGAACCACCAGAGGAATGCAGCCTGTGAGTTAGCCACACGACTCCCTACAGCTAAACTCCCTCACTTGGAGCTTGTGAGTTTCTAGATCCAACCCGAGAGGGTTGCTAAGCTGTCATTTCCACGCGGCTGCTCCGAAGGCCCAGCCTGGCTCACCCGTTTGACTGGTGCTTCTCCCTAAGGCCTTCTTGTCGTCCTTGGCCTAGGGCTGACCTGGCCGCTGTCAGATGTTGCTGCCTCACCTAGTATGGGGGGCAGAGGGGGGAGGAATCTGAGGGCTTAGAGCCTCATCAGTGGTACCTCGCTGAATCTCCAGAAACATCTAGAAAGTGCCATCTGCATTTTCACAGCTGCTGCAGGATACAAAACGTGCACAGCTGGCAAAGAACCTCCTCTCTGCATCCTTCAAGCACTCTCCATCTACACTGCAGGGGAAAGAGTCACTCTTCCCCAAGAATTCAAGGATGCAGATGTATACCCGCAACAGGAGTCTTTGAAGACATTTGAACAGAGCATTCCATTGCATGTTGAATATGAGCACATCACTGTTGATTCAGATCTCAGTAGACTTCACAGACCTGGGAAAACCTTGCTCCCACCTGGACCTTCCCAATGTGGAGTAAAGGCAGAGCTGAGAACCCCAGGACCCCAAACATCCTGGGGATACTGGTCTGGGGGCCACTTAAATCTTAATCCCAGACCAAAACCCCTGTCTCCTTGTATCAATTCGCAGCTAACATATTTTCTGGGAAATGGTGTAATTTTGGGGGTGGGTAGGTTTCAGCTGAAGACCTGAGAACTGACTGTGCTGTCACGGGAGCCGCACGCACAGTGGGTGCACACTGCCGGATCTGCCCCATCCCAGGATCTTCTGCTTCTCCGAAGAAGATTCTCAGGCCTCTCCCCCTGGTTCGTCTTCATCTGGAAGCTTCACTGAAACCTATTCAGCATCACAGCTCCATGCAAACCAGTGCTGACAGATGGTGATGGCTTCACTGTCGGAATCCTGCTCTGTCTTCTGCATGGAAAGTGAGCCTCTCATACCTGACTCCTCACAGTCCGATGAAGCGAGCACGTCCACGATACTTCTGGATGTCATCGCGGTGCTCTGGGCTGGCCTCGCGCACTGCAGCCCACCTGATTCCACTTCACAGGCGCTGCGGTTTTAATGAACTGAAAGTGGAACTTTGCATCAAGTGAGTTATGGGTGCCATTTTCCCAATAGCATGTGCTCACTGCCAAATTTTGGTTAATTCTAGCAATATCTCAAAACTTTTTCATAACGCTATTGCATAGTTAACAGACTACCATGTGGTGTAAAAAGAACTTTTCTGTGCACTGGGAAAGCAGGAAAAATTGTGTTGTTGTTAGGTGCATTGAGTCAAGTATGACTCATCGTGTGACCCTACGAGCAACAGATCTAAGCCCTGTTCTATCCGGTGCCATCTTCATACTTCCTGACACACTAGAGCCCATTGTGGCAGTCACCATGTCAATCCACCTGGTTGAAGATCTTCCTCTCTCTTGCTGACCCTCCACTTTCCCAAACATGATGTCCCTCTCCAAGGAATAACCTCTCTTAGTCCAAAGTATGGGAGATGAAGCTTTATCATCTTTGTCTCCAAAGAGCATGCTGGCTGCACTTTATCCAAAACCTATCTCTTTGTTCTTTTGGCAGTCCAGGGGATATTCAGGACTCTTCTGTAACACCATAGCTCAAATGTGAGAAGCCAAATTTCATACTAAATATTTGTAATAAACCAAATGCTATATCAGAATATGAGGGAGGCACTGATACAAACTGAAATTCACCCTGAAGCACCAAGGCAGATTTTAGATATTTACAGGGTAGACACTAAGGCAAACCTTAAGTGTTTACACGATTCTTGTGTTTGCTAACCCCTCCCTCCTGAGTCAAGCATAAGATTTTCAATAGAAAGAGCTTAGCTTCATTTGCATAGAATTCTCTTTGTGATTTGATCCCTGGCAATTTTCACAGGGAAGCTAGGTGCTGTGCTTCAGTGGCTCGAACTGTTCACCCCCTGCTTTACCTGTGTTTGTTTACTTATACATTCTTGTGTTCTGTCTTGTTATTAATGTACTTTACCATCAGTCAACAGCACTCAAAGGCATCGATTCTTCTTTTGTCATCTTTATTCATTGTTCAGCTCTCAAATGCATAACAAATGCTTGAAAACGCCATAGTCTAAATCAGGTCCACCTTAGTCCTCAAACTGATATCATTGCTCATTAATTTGGAGAGGTCTATGACTGCAGACTTTCCCAGTAAAATATGTCTCCTGGTATCAAGGGTCTTTGATTGTGGATCCAAGAAAGATTAAATCATTGAGAACCTCAATCTTTTCTCCATTTGTCATGATGCTGTCAATCCAGTAGTAAGATTTTTTGTTTTCTTGACATTGAAATGCAATCCATATTGAAAGCTGTATTTTATCTTCTGCAAGGGCTTCAAGTCTTTCTGCACTGAGAACATATGTAGGATAAGCCTAGCCAGGCCACATTAGGAACATGAACCATTCCTTCCACACCAAGCCACCAATAGATTTGGTCAGAATAGTCATTAACATGCGTATCATGGATTTAATTCTATCCCCTCCCCCATCTGCCTGAAAACGTGTTCATTTTGGCTGAGTGTAAGGAACTGGTTTGGCATTTGTATAATGATGTAATTATCCTAAGATGTGATCTGCTGTGATAAACCAGTCAGTTGTAAAAGAATTAGAGAGAGATGCAACACCCTTAATCCCACCACACCCCTGATCCAATGTAAGAGGAGTTCTCCTAGGGTGTGGCCTGTGACACTATTATATGAGATAAAAGAAGAACTGAACAGAGAAAGGGACACAGACACACACAGGAACAGAATATGTCCTTTAGGCCAGTGGTCTCTGCATCTCTGCACTGAGAACCTTCTAGATCCTTCTAAGCCAAGACACATGGGGATCTCCAAGGGACACCATATTTCACAGATGCTGAAAGGAGACAGGGACCTTCCCCTAGAGCAGACAGAGACAGCCTTCCTCCTAGAGCTGGTGCCCTCAGTTTGTACTTCCTGTCATTTAAATGGGGGAGAGAATAAGTTTGTTTGACAAAGCCTTTTGTCAAATACCCTTGTGGTATTTCTCCCATCGCAGCAGTGAAAACAAGACAGTGACACAGGCCTCCTAAATCTTTGGTAGACTGCCTCCACCTCCAACCTGCCACAACCTTCTACCTGCACCATGCAATCAGCTCGCCCGGTCCGCTGGCCTCAACCATCACCTGCTCCCTCTCCACTCCATTCTCAGCGAGGAGTTGTGTAATCTTTGAAAGAAAAGAATCCGACTGTGTAACTCTTCTATTTCAAAACTCTACTGGCTGCTCACTGAGCTGGTTGCAAACACCCTACGATGCCCACTGAAAGCCAGCCCCAGCCAACCACATCTTCAACAGTCCTTTCCTTGATTGCTGTCTCTGACTTAGACTTCTTCTTTTTTTTTTTTGTTAAAGCAATTCACTTGTATTTTTCTTATAGTAATACAAGATAACCAAGACATTGCTGGGTCACCTTTCTTTGGAATGGGCAAATATGTGGATTTCTTCCAGTCAATTGGCCAGGTAGCTTTCTTCCATATTTCGTGCTGTAGACAAGTAAATGGCTTTCAGCATTGCATCTGTTTGTGGAAACATAAAATGATAGTGTTTCAGTTCTTTTTTTTTATCCTTAAAGGCTGCAAGAAGATTATTTTAATAATCCTGAAAACACAGCAGTTCTTGTTTTTCACCAGCACCATCAGTACTTTGACTTCTTCCTTCATTGTCATTCATTCTTGATCATATGCTGCTGCCTGAACTGGTTGATTGACTTAGACTTCTATCACCAAGAATATCGAGGTTACCCTCCACTGAGGGCCTCTGGACGAGCTACTCCTACAGAAGGTGTCCTCTCAAAATCTCTACATAGTTTCCGCTGAAACATCACCTCTACAAAGTTACTCTCTGCCCAAGACTTCAGGAGTAGTTTTGCAAATAGTCACCATGCTCAGCTCCTCAGGGAAAGGACTGAGGACCCATTTCTGAAACTGTAGACTTGAAAACCATGGTAGCCTGACCCATGCGTCATCACCATGGGCAACTCAAGGATGACAGGTTATCTAAGACTAGGAGAATGCTCTTGGTCCACCCATTTCCTTTTATTTACAGCCTTGATCACTACTATTTTCTTGTTTATCTGTCTTCCTCCTTCTAATCTCAATGACAATGGGATTAGTGTATTTTAGGTAAGTCCTTATCTCTTTCACAATGCAAGCATGAAATCATCATGCAAATATTTGCTGAAGGAGGGTGGTGGTGATAAGATGGCTGAGAGAGTTGCTCCCCAGAGAAAGTTACTTAAACCACACCAAACTGAGCTTTTCTACAAAGCAGTAAGATTAACAAGTGTTTCTTACAAGCCTGCACCGAATAATCACCCGTTTCCAAGTATACAGGATGGTTAACAAGACATCATAAAAAAGGAGAAAAGTGGATAAAGATAAAGAAGACTTTAGACATTTTCAATTAGGATGACTGAGTAGACAATTTGAGGAAGTTCATGAGCAAGTTCAGATTCAAGAAGAGACAAACTCTGACAGCCAGCAAACAAGGTCTGAGTCTTGTTCACCCTCACAGCAGGGACAAGAGACCAAAGAATCAGTTAGGGGCCAGGAGTCGAGACAGATGACAGAATGATGGTGGTGGAACCAGTTGGAAGTGGCAACTGGGACAGGGACAAGTTCCTCACCAAAGAGCCACTGCCAGCACATACACTGATCTTAAAGCAGAGGCAGCCCACCAGCTTGGCCAGTCCCCCTAGCTTCATTTTGGAGAAATCTCCTTCTTTAATGTGTTTGCTTCCTCAGAAGTTTGAGACAGAAGAGCAGATGACTTATCCTCAAATCAGGGTGAGATATGCACATGACTCCTTGGAATTGACCAAGCACAGTCCTGTCTCGGAGGGTGGAGGGGAGAGTGCCCCAGGGCTCCGCCAAACATTCACGAAACTCTCTACCATTCTGATGCCACATTCATATCCACACAGGATGTGCTGGACAGAGGGCCCCCAGCCACATCTGGAAGTCACTGCCTGTTGACCAGAAGGAGTACTCAACAGAAGATAATCTCAGGCTTCAGATCAGTGTAACGACACTGAAGCCGAGGCAGCGTGGCTCACAGCAGCCACTCAGAACCCCAGGCTTCTGGGAGGAAAGAGAAAGAAAAAATCTGCTGCAGGATGTTCTCAACACTGGAAGTTTCAGCGCAGAGAAACATGTGAGCCTTTCATTCACTTGGACGTTGTATCAGATTCAATTAGTCCTGATAGTCTTAAGTGATAGCTTGCTAACTTGAGGGTCAGTGGTTTGAACCCACCAGCCCCTCAGTCTGCTTCGGTAAAGATGTAGAGGTGTGGCGACTATGGACGGTTCTGCTCTGTCCTGTAGGGTCACTCTGAGTAAAATGCCACACAACGGCAAAGGTTGGTTCGAACTTCAGACCTTTTGGTTCACAGCCTACAGTGTCAAGAATCCAGAGATTTGGACTTGAATGAGAAGCTGTAGCCTAGATTTTTAAGAGTTAAGACAAATAGCATCTTTCCCCGTCAAAAGACCCAGCCCAAAGGAGACTGTCAAAGTGAGAAGGAGCTCTAGCAAAGACCGAAGTCACTTCCTTTCCATTAAAAATAATCTTAGCTGTAAAAAAAAACCCAAAAAACCCAAATTATCAGTTACATATTGTATATTACAAAATATTACATATTGTATATTACAAAAAATATTCCAAAAGATGCCATTTTTACCATTTTGTCTCTCAGAGGCAACAATTACATTCATAGCCATCAATATTAACTGTTTATAAAATTTCTCATCACCCTACACAGAAACTTTGTGCCCACTGAGTCTCACTTCCCTCTCCTTCCCTCCAAGGCTGTCATGGCCTCAAATCTAACCTTGTCTCTATGCATCCTTCCTATTCCATGTCACATAAGTCAAACCGTACAATATTTAACCTTTAGGTGTGACTTTCTTCACACCCAGGAGGTTTGGTGGTGCTGTGATTAAA